AAGTTGATAGATTGCGACTAGTGTTTTGACCTGTAGCCATCTCTATTAAGTGAGCAATCTGATTAAGCCCGAACGGGCAGAGTTCTTGTCAGAGCTCACTTGCAACGGCAAATTAACCTAATTTTTTCAGGTTCCCCTGGTTGACTGGGAGGTATCAGATGTTCGGACAGCGGATGCAAAACGCTCGCCGATGACGTTTTCCGTGAGACCGTTAGTTGACCACTTGCTTGTTGACTACATCAAATACAAGGGATGGGAGAATATTGTCTACATTCACGATGGAGCCAACGGTAAGGGCTCCAAGCGTTCAGTTCATGGCCAGAGAGAACATTCAAATTTCAGCTGACAGAACGTTACATGGGATGTTTGAGTACTTGAACGAGAACAGTCCCGAGTATAACCTCTTTGTGGACAACTTTAGGGTGAGTCATGATTATCCATTGTTTTCAGCACTTTTCTTGTTGCATCACCTCACTATCAAGCAATTTTAGGTCATTTTTATAATTTTATTTTGGTGGTATACTGACAAGTGGCGCGCTTACCACTCGCGCGGTCCTGGGTTCAAATCCCGGGTCGACTCCCGCCCAGGCCAACCAAGCCTTCTACCCTCCGGGGACGGTGAATTGGTACCAGATTCGTCTGGGAGGATAAAACACTGACATCGGCTGGCCACCGCAAGTCATTGTATAGGCCACATCGCATTCAATAAGCCACTACGATTCTGAATGGAAGTAGAATGCGTGCCGCATCCCACAAAGGGATTGATCAACGGCGAAGACTTTATCCTTTATCCTTTTACCAGTTTGGCTAACGCGCAGTACTGCGCGCATGGTTGAACCTAAGGTACTGATCAGGGGGTTTTTCTGCTGAGCACAACACTTGGCCCAATTCCCATTCTTCATAATACGGCCAACTTCATCGTATTTTTCCCTTTAATGAGCATTTACAAATGACTGGCGCTTATCACTTTTTGACAACACTCGCCATTCGTTGGAAATAGGACAGCCTAGCGGTTGAAAGAGTCTCGAGGGTAATAATATCGATATCATGAATGCCACACATCCTAACGTACATCATTTGAGGCAACGTTTTCCGGTGGCGGGGGGGCTTCTTATACTTTTTGATGAAACTCTACAGTTTAGCGGTCGATCAAATCCGACTATATCGCCAAGGAATAGAAACATAGAAACATGTTGGCTCACCGAACCTTTGCCCACTGATTCCTTGGCCGCGGTGATTTGAGCTATACGACTCCTAAAAGCCCTTGTCAGACACTATCAGAGCTTATCTCCCACTACTAATGTTACCTTAAAGCACTCTAAATCACTTTGGCCTGGAAGCAATAGTCCAGTAATGCCACAACTATGCTGTGAATTTTTGGGGCTATCTTATCAGCTGTTATCACGTCCTGCCACCCACCAATAATGTTCCCCATCGCCATCTTGCACTTGGAACATCGTGTTATGCGTCGCTGTGAAGCATGTTATCAGGTTGGTGACCCTTCCTTTCTGAGGCCCATTATATTATCTTATCAGCTGTTATCACTTCCTGCCAGCCATGAATATTATTCCCATCCTGCCCCCTATCTTACTTCTTGAAACTAACGTCCCGTCGCCGCCGTGGTCGGCGCTATGAATTTGGTGACTCTCCCTTGCAAGGCTCCTCATGGTATCTTATCAGCCGCTATCACTTCCTGCCACCCACATACATGAATGTTCCCATCCGCTGGTTCCTCTACCTTACTTCTTGGAACCAACGCTCTACCGCTGCTGTGACGCGCGTTATGTAGATGGTGATCCTTCCCTTCTAAGGCTCCTCATGTTATCTTATCAGCTGTCATCACGTCCTGCCCCCTACCAATAGTGTTCCTGCCTTAACCTCCTCCAATCACCATAGTGCAATTTGAGCGCCATACTGCTGTTTGGAAGCAAAGTTATGAATTATCCGGTCAAACACACATACAGTCACACACACACACACACACACACACACACACACACACACACACACACACACACACACACACACACACACACACACACACACCAACAGACAAACTTAGCGGATTATATATAGTAAGGATCATTTCAGTGAGAAGTGCCGGTCACCATATGCACGGTCCCGAGTTCAAATTCCGATTGGCTAAACCCTTGTCGAGCGAGCCTTCTCCGTGTAATACTAGGTGATAAGGGAGATTAGTACACGTCACTGGATCGAAAGTCGGGCAGGTCAACAGCGTCCTTCCTACGTCGCCGAGCCGGCCACTGGGGGAATAGTAGATAGCTTCCATCGAGACTTCCGACGAGTAAACACCCTCAAATCTGCACTTCAACTGCCCCTTCTTTTATGCTTTTGAGCCCCCTTGAAGGTAGACTTCGCGGTGAGCCAGTGGAAACTTCGTAGATAGAATGGTTGAGAAACAGAATTGTATGTGCCAGTCGAATCACTCGTGAGAGAAAAAGGAAAGGAAACCGTCGAGAAGACTTCAAGTGAGGCCCGCTACCTGCGTGCAGCCGTGAAAGGGAAAACAAACATGGTGAAATACCGGGAGAGAGGCCAGAGAAGACAGCGGGAGAGCATGCAAAAGAAGGAGAGCATAGATAAGACATCTATCACTGTGGGCGGAGTCAATTAAGGCCTTACCTAGTGGCACGCCTCGCCTTAACGTGAAACTCACACAGGTTGTTTCTGTTGGCAGTTACAGCTACCGTCTCCGTCGATTTAGTCAAGAAGTTATTAACTGGTCGTCGAGGCTGTGCCTTTAACTTTGGGCCTAGTCTAATAAGGGGCTAATCAACACAGTTTGCAAATTCGGTGCAGTTCAGCAAGAGGTAGGGGCATTTGGCATTTGAGCTGCTTGCCATCGTCGCTTTCGTTGCTTTGCAAGAGTTGACAGGTAGTTTTTACAAATTCGACTGGAATCACTTCACAGCTTCGCAAGATTACATAAATCTCCACGTGGTGGCTCGACATGCACTGGAAGTACAAAGTCCACTCTCCTCCCCTTCCCTTCCCCACCCCCTCCCTCCAATCCCCTCGCCGAACTACGCCGCAAATTCCTTTGAGCTGTTAATTGAAAGATCATTCCTACTTATTCTACCGAAACGAATCCAAGCTTGTTTCCCAAAAGATCCAAAAGATGGATATGCAAGATATAGATGTGAAAATGTTGATAGGTATCCATATTTATTACTTGATTCACTTTGTAGGCTCCTCCCGATGAAGAATTTTTTCGGGAATTCCTGAACGACTTCCATCGACGAATGTCGCTTTCACAAGTGGGAAATGTGTCCAACACCGATGATGCAGTCATTGTGCAGTAAGTGCAAGTTTTTGTGGAAAAAAATATTTTCTGAAGCACTGGCTAGCACTTTCAGCCCGGTGCATGTGATTGTGGATTTAGAAGGTGGATATCGTATGAGAATGTTCTTGAGAGCGCTTGAAGAGAGCGTCCTGGTGAAGAAGGACTATCACTACGTCTTCGCCAATCTGGTAACTTCTTCTGTCTGGTTATTTAGTGAATCTCTCTGGGTTACGTGAGCGCATCCAGTCCCAAAAAAGGGTTCATTTCCCCTTGCAATCGATTACGTCGCAGCAGTAGTACTTATGGACTGCAAGAGTATTGCAACCAGGGTTCATAATCGTGATGTGGGCAATGTCTGCTGAATACCACTCTCTCCTGTATCTTCTCTTTCGGGCGATCTGATTTCCACAACATTCCATGTAACCGAAGTTCCTTGGAATTTGAGCGGGGGAGGGGAGGGAGAGAAAAAACAGTCATGAGTCGGAAGTTTTTTTCCCCGGACCAAGTACGAATTCTCTACTCAGCAGCCGAATATAGTCTTCCGCTGTGATCATCACACCGAATGATGAGCTGTAATTGCAAAATGAGCAAGTTTCCCTCCTTTGAGCTATCTAAATGTAGCAAACGTTTCTAATTGAAGGCAGACTGTACTCTCACGTCCTTGCCATGGTGGCAGGCGCAGTGGCGGGCCAAAATCCTTCTCCAGAGTTGTAGGGGAACTGGGGGGGGGAGGGTAGTGATAGCATTATGTCAGCATTATGTCCTGTTCACCTGCGCTATTCTCAAAGTGCAAAACTTGCGTCGATATCAAAATCCTGCAGCGAATGCGCAGTCAGAGATAGAGAAGAACCAAGTATGAGGGCGCAGATAAGAAAGGCTTTCGGCCATGGTTAGGCGCGCTGCTGGCCGAACGGAGAATGGAGACAACATCCAGGTATGACTATCCTTCGTCCCAGTTAACATGCACTGTCGACCTCACTAAGTGGCACGCTACTGCAGCTACGGATCCCTTCTCTTCGCACATATCAAGGATCACAAACCACGAAGGTGAATGTACAGTTTGTCTTCAACCTACTGGCGGCATGGTGGACAAGAAAACGGCTACGATAAGTAGTGCAGTTGGGGAAATTCTCGAAAGCTCCCGACTGGATGTTCATGCCCGTTGGTGGGCGTTGTCACAAATGGTCAACTACGTTGTTCGAGTGGTCAGCTCCCGCTGAATTCCCCAATAGGCGTTTTAATAATGGTTCTCCCCTTCAGGTCTGAATTTCTGGATTTATTGATGTTTTCTTGTGCATAAATCGGTTGGCACGGTAAATCCCTAAGAAGAGTAGGATTAACAAGCCTAGCAGGATGGAATTCCACGCCGCCGAGAAGGCGCTTCGTAGCGCCTTTACCAGGGAAGGAACCCCTATAGGACCCTATCAAGCTGCAACATACCGACCCGGACGCCCACCGCGCCCGCCCGCCCACAAATGGACGACCGTACCTGATGCTCGTATTGCTTCATTTGCCAAGTAAAATATGAAGGGATTGATATGAAGCGGCCGCGGTGCTGCATGGATATATGAGTACATACGTGCAGCCGTATCTACCGTAGCGGTTATTGGCAAGATGCCTACGGGAAACTCGTCCGAAATTGCTTTTTGAGTCATTAAGGGCGAAAGCTTTTCTTCGCAGGTTTTTGACCGTTTCACTTCGTTTTTTCGCCATTTTCCCACTATATAGCACCTGCTAGCATTTCAGACCGAGTACCAAATTGGCCACTTGCTCGGGCAATGTGCACTTAGACACGTAGCTGTACGTTCAGGTGTTGGTGTTTTGAGAGAGAAGCAGAAGTTGCTAGGTAGCTCCACAGTCGGCGGCGATGTTGAACGAAGGCGTAGCGCATGCTTCGTTATGGTTCAGTCATTTTCACTGCGAACGCTGGAGCGTGGATTTGGCGCGTCGCCAGCTTTTCCACCAGCTCTTGTCCCTTCAGCAATGGTTGGAGAACGAGCTGTCGCCACGCCAAACCAGAATCCCCCGTGCGTATTAGATGCTAATTCTGTTGACCTTGGCAGGACAAAACCTCGAACACTACCTTCATGACAATTCAATATGAACTGCTCGTCTTTCTGAGAGAGTGGTTTGACATGACTCCATGATGATGCGTAATTTTCAGGAGATGGAAGACGCCGATTTGGCAGCTTTCCACTTTTCATTGATCAATATAACCGGTTTCCAAATGTTCGACCGTATGGACAAGAAATATCTGTGGGTACTTTAATCTTTTTGATGTTTGTCTAACGAAAGTAATGACTGGAACAAACCCGAGCGAATTCCAGGCAAAACAGGAAAGATTTCGAGGAGACGTACCGAGAACGGTTTCCTACCTTTGATTACTTGCCGGTACGTTTAACCTTCCGTGGCATTGAAGTTCCCGACTAGAGAATTCTTCGCGACGATCTTGTCGAGTAGCCATTTGCCGTTCATCGGCGACGATTTTACAAACCAACCGGTCGCGGTAAGGCTGCATTTATACTTTGCGGCAGCTTCTGCAGGCGTCTGCCAGCGTCCACTAGCAACCAGCAGCGTCTCGAGGGCTGGGAAAGTATAGGTATCGATCTAGCGTCTGCCAGCGTCTGCCAGCGTCCACCAGCGACTGCTAGTAGAGAGCATGGAGCGATAGCAGGGTAATCCACCCGCGTGAAGTATCGTTCGTGTGGGGCGGGGGTCGTATGTCTCAAGGGTTCACTCAGTGCCGGCAATGGCCTTCGACATTTCAGTTGATAGTGGGAGTGGAGCTATGGAAGTTAAGATGTTAAAAAATGAAAATTATTATGAGTGTATTCTTTACAGATTGAACTGCTACGTTTAACAGCCCTCTTTTCATGCGAAATCCCCAAAAATGGGTTCGTACTTGGCCGCGGGGGACGTGGGGAGTATCGCAAAAGTAGGCTCGCTAGGCATCAAACAGTACAAGTGTCATTTGCTAAGTTTGATGGAACGGAAGGAAAGCCAAAAGCCTGCAGAATATCTCGGATGCTAAATAGGACTACAAAATAATAAAAAATTTATTACCAATATAATAAAGAAGAATAGCAAGAATAAATAAATAAATAAATATCAGTTAATAGCATGAACTCGTAAGTACGTAGATGACTAAATAATACGTCTCAAACAGATTCGTGCGTATTGTCCTTTCCAAACCCTAAACAAACATCTGCTTGCATGGATAAAAGCACCTGAAATCAGAATTTACACCTTTCCACCACCT